ATAGTCATTTTGGGTGCATTTATTTTTCATGAAACAATAATAATTTCAATCCCGAAAAACCATCAATTTTCCGTATAAAATCGAAAAAATCAAAATATGTCAACTCCCCGACGTGAAAATTAGATTCTACGTATGTAAAATGTAAATACTTATGTATCGATATGCTGAACAGAACTATGTGTGGACAGTCAGAAGCCCGCGGCAACATTAATTCAACAGAAAAACTGTAAAAATTAGATAGGATTTTAGCCGCTTTGCCCGCCTCTCCTCGCTACTTACAACAAACCGTTCTTATACTCATCTCAAAATTTTTCTCAGAGCTTTGGGTTATTATCAGCTTCCATTTAAACTCCGGTTCGATGGCCGAATCGGCTGCCAAAAAAGCAAGCCACTGTTGAGGGGTTCTATGAGAAATTCGTGATATTATCGGCTCTCAGGAAATCACCCCATGGCTAAAATTGGTGGTATAAATGTTTAAGTGCTTAAAATAATCGTATTCAAGAAACTAAGGAATTAAACTATGGAGTCAATTTCTTTTTAATAATATAACGAATTTACTACCGGTGATTTAGCTATTATAGCCCCAGAATACTTTTAAAGCGCCTTTGCGTTCCAGAATCTCGACGGAATTTTTTTTTTTTTTTTTTTTGCTTAAACGATTCAAGAAACATTGTAGTTAAAAATATAAAGATTTTTCGATTTGGACGTATGAAAAATGTTTAACTCGTTCAGGCACACCGTGTATTGTATGGAGTACTGCTGTTATTCGACCGTTGTCTTCAGGTCAAAATTCTTACAAAGAAGCCCCTTGCAAGAGGCAAATTTTTTGTAATTTCTCCCAGTTTTTTCAGCGTTAGGTATATAAATGAATTGTTTGTCAAATTTTGAGGTCAATTATATTTAATTGTAATTTATACTTTCTTTTTTTCCCCTTCATTTTATTTTTCGTATCGAGGAGTCGAGGTTTTGTTGATTTCTTCGGATTTCGATTACTGTAACTTCTCTTCTATTCGGCCGATTTTTATGAATGAGGTCTCTTTTTATTTGTGTTTTAACGGAGAGTAAGGAAAAAATTGCTAAATACATGCGAAACAATTTTTTTTGAAAATTGGATGAATCCTAGCGTGACGGTGAAATGGTTAATGAAGCGTGAGTAATTGGGGTACGGGTATCGGCCGCGTTGGGACCCAAGGCCCATTGTTCTTCGTGACGCCGACGCAGTGATCAGGAGCGTGGGGACGAGAGGGCTTAGTGGACTCCTGTATGAGCCACGTTTAGCAAATGGTCTAATGAGTCTCGAGGCTCATCACAGATTGCACTTACCACTATCCTGGTGGCCCCGGCTATCAGAGCAAGGAGTACCAACTTTTGAAAAGGATAACAGTGTTGTGGAGATATGTCAAAGCAACGTTGTGAACAAAACGGAGTGAGTGAAATTCTCATTCAAGGAGTGCCGAACTGGTCAGCCATCCTCGAATCAGTTCGCTTGCTTCCGCTTATATATGCATATTTTAAATCAGCGCGCCCCATTCTAAGGTTTTTTTAAAAAAAACCAAGAAACGTAGACTCTTGGTATTCATTACACATAAACTAGCGAGCCCCAGAATGAGAAACAAATTTTAATCATTATTATTGACGGATTAGTAAACTTTTTACACGCTTTGGAAAATCTCAGAAGTTCGCGGTAGTCACTTTTCGGTAAGGAACTAGGGGACTCGGTTATTGTATCGAGGGGGGGGTCGAAACGATCGCAAAGGCGGTATACTACGTATACGCGCCAAAAATAAACATAATAAGACTATAAATCGAACTGTGGTAACGTATACAAACGTTACTTTTAGACAGATCAATAACTAGACAATGGAAAAATATAGAAGAATATTAATAGAAACGTGTGGAAATCGATTGTAACGTCATGCGTATTCTGCAAGGGTGACTTTATTTATTCACTTTTTGATGATGAAAGAAGTGTGGTGACTTATTAACGGCCAACGACTTATTTCGACGTAACTGCCCGAGATGAGGAAGAAGCATATTTGGACAGCACCATTGTTAGATATGTTTAAGAAATCACATCATTATTAGGAACATTTTCAGTGTCACGATGAAAACTAGTAATAATTTACTTCATCCGCACAGTAGATGATGCTGGAGTTAAGTTACGGTGAAAAAACAGAAAACAAACAAACAACCAAAGAGTTCTTAGTGTCGTATGCGGCTTTATACTTATACGACTTTGATTTTCTGGATGCAAGATGCAACTATTCGGGCTCTATGGGTGTCTGTGTTGCATACGCACGAACGTGAAGGCGTTTTAACTGTTCAGGCACTCACTCCCTCACCCGCAGCATGCACGGCGCTAACGAACGGCCGTCTTCTCTTAATTCTAGCGTAGCCTATTGTGCCGATCAAATAAATCGTTACTGATTTTTATCGCGACATTGCCAATTTTCCGAAAAGTGCATTATTTAAACGTTACTAGCCATCGAAATCGCAAAAATAAATCATATTTCCGAGCTGAACATGATATAAAGTTTTGTTTAACCTACTTTCATGACTCCTCCTTTGTCTAGATTTTTTTTTGGTTTTGTTTATATCCCTTCTGGAAAAGCAATTTTGACGTTTAAGTGCGATATTCTCGAAGAACAATTCTGATGATTCAAATGGAATTTGGAACAAAAACAATGACCATTCGTAAGTTGACAAAATAAAATGCGACAGGAAATCTGCAATTACACAAACCTAGTGTGAGGTTTTCCGAAAGACGAATTATCATTGTTTTTGTTCCTAATCCCATGTAATTTATCAGGATTGTTCTTCGAAAACCTCTCACTTAAGCGTCAAAACTGCTTTACCAGAAGAAAAATAATCTAAACGAAGGACGATTCATTTAAGTGGGTTAAACAAAACTTCATATCATGTTCATCTCAAAAATATGATTTATTTTCGCGATTCTGATGGCTGGTAACGTTTAAAGAATGCATTTTTCGGAAAATTTACATTGTCGCGATAAAAATCAGCAACGATTTATTTCATCGGCACAATATGCAACGCCAGAATTAAGAGGAGCCAGCCGTTCGTTGGCGCCGCGCTGCGGGTGAAGGAGTGAGTATCCGGGCAGACAAAACGCCTTCACTTTCGTGCCTATGCAACACGGACATCCATGGAGCCCGAATAGTTGCATCCAGGAGTTAAAATTAAATTCGTATCAGTAAATAGTGTTTTTCGCATACGACACTAAGTGCGCTTTGGTTGTTCGTTTGTTTTCTGTTTATTTCGCCGTAACTTAATTCCAGCGTCATCTTTTGTGCCGATGAAGTGAACTATTACTGTTTTTTATCGCGACATTGAACATTATCCGAATAATGAATCAATTGTTTAAACATATTTAACAATGGTGCTGTCCTAAAATGCGGGTTGTACCCATTTTTTCTTTCTCTCTCTCTTGGTTTCTTGGTTTTCTTTATTCCTGTTATTTGATTATGATTTAAAAATACGTTAAGATAACTATCTAAGAACATTCTAGCTGGAGCACAATTCACCTATCCATTCACGACTGCAAAAATGTCGAAGGAAATGGACAAGACCAGCGTGCATGGAGGCTATTTCCATTTTAATCTTCCGTCACATTCTTACGGCGCAATATGATACAACTCTTTGAACTGTCCGGTATGCGTGAGGTATCACGCCGCATTTGAAGGCGTTTTCAAAAACAGCCAAGTTCCGATACCCGGATTATTGTTTTGCATAGTTCATATTAGTATGTTATATTATGTACCACTTTTTCATTTTTAATCCTCGTATAAAAACCACCCATTTGCTAAATACAATTCTAGCTGAAGCGCAGTTAAGCTTTGCATTGATGACTGCAAAAATGTGAACGAAAATCGAAAAGGTCAGCGTGCAAGAAGGCTACATCCATTTTAATCATCCGTCACATTCTTACGGCGCAATGATACAACTATTTGAACTCTCCGGAATGCGTGAGGTATCACGCCGCATTTGAAGGCGTTTATCAAAACAGCCAAGTTCCGATACCCGGATTATTGTTTTGCATAGTTCATATTATTATGCTATATTCCGTACCACTTTTTCATTTTTAACCCTCGTATAAAAACCACCCATTTGCTAAATACAATTCTAGCTGAAGCGCACTTAAGCTATGCATTGATGACTGCCGCCTTTATTTTGCCGCCCTGTTCTCATTCGTTTTGAAACATCAATAAATACCATCAAATGAAGTGCCGGAGAGGAGGGGTGCATAACACGCATTTACCTAAACGTGTTGGAAACATTTTTTTGCGAAAGCCCTGTCAACAATACTGGCAAAATGTCACGGAAGTTTGCGCTAAAGTTAGGTTCCGTGAACCTACTCTCTGTGGACAAGGCCTTCCATTTGTAAGAAATGAGCAAAAAAATTTTGAAAGAGCAAACATAAAATACTGTGATATTTCGTTTTATACTTCGTTAGTTTTGATTTAATTGCTGCAGATGAGTGTTTTCCAGTAATGCATCCAATAACTGAATTGACTATGCTAGAAAATAAAGTACCTATTATGTGGTGTTCAACAGACTTCATTCTTAGAATGAATATAGATGTCATTCAGAATTCTGATCGACCAATGTCAAATCCAACAAATCCCTAAAAATTGTCTCGATTTCTTTCTGCTTAATGCGGCCCATGTGTCATTTTTTGTATGTTTGCTTGTGCATGTAATTCTCCTGTGCGAAAACCATTAGTATGCTACCCTGTAATAAACCCCAAACCGTCGGGGTTAAGTTATTAACCCAGCACGAGATTAATTGAATTTCGCTCGGGGATCAGCTTTACCCCGATCGGATTACACACACGTTCTAAGACGCATTCCCACTTAGCCCACATCAGGGATTAATTGATTCCGTCCCGACCGCAAGAGTTAATTGACGCTTTTCGGTAATGTGCATGGGAAACCGCCAATATTTTCCCGTCTTAATAGCTCAGAACAATAAGAATATGCAGCTCTAAAAACAACGATGACTTTATTTTTAAAAATGTGCATGCGGGAACAGACGAAGGAGTATACTCCACACGCAAAGGTTAACAAAGTGCGCGAAATTAACAAGAGATTATTGAGAATTTACATGGAAGATAGCTCCTATCGTTAGGTTGTTTTCAGAGTCAGAAATCATAAGAGCTCTCATCCGATCTTTTTTTGGCTTTGAAAGTGATGGCGTAAAGCAGACTGGCAGTGACTCCACCGAGTATTGGACCGGCCCAGTACACCTGTAAGACAAATTTAAAATGAGACAAAGTCCAGTCTTATCTATTTAGAGGATTTAGACATATTTATCGAAATAAAACAAAATTAAACAACGGCTCAACGAGCAATGGAACTATTGAATTTAATAGAAGAAAACTCATAATCATACACCTAATCTTCGTACCTATTCTATAAAACACGACAAATAAGAATTTCATGGTTGTTTAGGGGGAAATTAAGATTATCATCCTGTGAATATTCGACTAATATAGTTATTCTGTTTTTTCCACATTCAAATGTGAATGTAGATCTTAAAAGTATTGATGTATTTGATAAATGGTACGAACAAGTCGTCAGTGAAACTATAAAAAATCGTATCTTGTTTAATGTGTCTTAAAAATTTCGCTCCTTTATTTCATTTTATAAGAAAAATGAGCCAAAATAATGGCTTGAAATTTTCTCCGAACATACTTTAAAAAGAGACTTTACTTTAGAGACATTTTTTACCAGAAGTGAGGTTTTTTACTTATGACGTCAAGTAATTTCTCATTTAAAAAATAAAATTTGACAGGAAATCTGCAACGTTTCTGATCAAAAGTCATGTTGTTTCAGTTTCATTATCAAAAAGGAAAGGACCGAGAGGAAGCCTAAAAAACAGTGTATTGTGAGTAATACAAGATTTCATCATTCCCATCCTTGTTCGTAAGAAAGTAAATAGAAAGACCAAACAGTTTTTATCAAATTTTCCCATAAAGCATCCCTCACACTTAAAAGAAAAATCAAGGAAGTTTATGGAAAAAGAGCGATCAGTTTTCCATTTAAAAAATACATCTGGGGCGGACTGGTAGCTTACTTACACCGCCCCAAATCGAATCACCAAATTTTGTAATTAAATCTTCTTTTTGACGGAGGAAAAATGCCTAACAGGTCGCAATGGACAAATTGTTTGGTCAATGTTGTTCGAGATATGAAATTGATTGAATACAACATTATTTTATTAATTTGATACAATTTTCTTCACTCACCCAATGTTTGTCCCAAATTCCACTGACGAATGCAGGGCCTAATGATCGAGCAGGGTTCATACTAGCACCGGTGTACTTGATCTGAAAAACCAGTAGCAAGGAAAATTCAACGTGCGTATTCGTGATGTAAATTTCTTGAGGCTCAAGACCAGATGTTTTTATTATTTTCCCTGGCATCACGTCATCTCGGTTGATCGAAGGTTAGTAACCTGAGTTGCTTGACTGGTGAGTTTCTCTACCTCTGTGTTTGTCCGTTGATTGACTTGAAATTCGGTTGTCGAATATCACGCAAGATTTTTGAAATACTCAAAAGAAAGAATCCTAACTTTATTACGCCCACAAAACATGGCGGCGTCGAAAGAGAAGCCATTTTCAATCATGTATAACGTTCGATTCTTGTGCGTTTATTTCCACTTTTTAACATGTGATGTCATTTACTCTCTTTATTCCTATCCTTTCCCATAGGAAACTGTAGGTGGGTTGTAATATCTAATTATAAGTAAGACGTTCTAAGGCTGAGTGGGAGCGGTAAGTGAAATGACAAAAGCCAAAGGATAATCTAATGAGAGGCGTACCGCGGCGAGATGGCAGCAAGCAATTGCGAATCCTATCGCAACGCCGATAGATCCTTTGATGTCGGTCCGCTTCCCATCGCAGACGGACTGGACAACTAAAAGCAGCACAAATGTGATTAGTGCTTCTATCGCCACACCCTGCAGGTCGGAAACTCCTGTAGACAGTGTCGTTACTCCCAGATTACCAGCAGCCGTGTAACCTGTTTTTGGCGTGATTTCCTGTTAAACACGGGAAAATTCATGATTATTAACTACACCGAAAAAAAAGTGAAGTTGATTTAACATTCTGGATGTAAAAAAGGTGTGCGAGAACTTATAAAGTGCTGAATTATTCGCTACAGCAATTACTTTAGCAATGCCAAGATGTAAATCTAACTGCATTGGCGGGTAACTCAGCATTTTACGAGTTATCGCACACTTCTTTTACATCCAGAATGTTAAATCAACTTAACTTCTTTTTTGGTGTAGCATATTTGAGTCACATAAATAGATATAATACGCATTGTTAAAGATCTTATCCATCAGGGTTCAATATTATCTGGGGCATGCATGTACTGCCGTAATACGGAAAAACGCCGGATGAACATCGGAGAGTTGCCAAATTCCCCCTCTTAAAACATTACTTTTGGGAAAAGTAATGAATATTTCTACGTGAGATTCTCTGATACTTTACATCACATTGCAAAGAAAATCCTCCGGAAAATTGGACGGAAAATTTTTGCAAGTTTTCCTGAAAATTCTTATTTTATCGAAAAAAAATTGGGAACGCACGAAGATTATGTAGCATCGCGTCCATGATATTGGACTCCATGCTCACCCTTAATATACTTGCCTGCTCATCTCGTCCAAGATCTTGGACTCCATGCTCATCGCTAAGCTTTTCACTTCTTTGCTTGAGCATGGAGTCCAATAGCAAGTAGACCTTTTTTAGTTTTAAAGTTCATCATGATAGAAAATCGTAAATTTCTCTGATCAAATCTAGCTTGAACTAACCTAACCTAACCTAACCTAACTCAGCCTAACAAAACTAATGCACAATGTGTCACGAAAACACATTTTTTCGTCTTTATTTCACAAAAATTGTCTAAATGAACTTTTGGACCTTATGCTCGTGTGTTGTCAGAGAATACCTGCATCCCACAATTTTGGACGCTATGCTCACTTTGATTTTTCTAAAAAATTATCCCTCATCAAAGTGAGCATGGAGTCCAAGATCTTGGACGTGATGAGCAACCTAACATTATATAAGTGATCATGGAGTCCAAGATCATGGACCCGATGCTACATTACCACGCACGAAGGTTCATGCGGCGTTCCTCCTTAGCAGGGCAATGTAGCTGCATTACATTTTTACATAAGGATGCTAGAGAAATGAATAATGAGCGGATCCTCACAAGAAGCTCTCTGAAAGCTGGGTTCTTTGTGTGTTTGGATGCGTGCTCAAAATATTATCGATGCAATATCGATTTCACTGGTCTAACGTCATTGCTACAAAGGCTTTGAAAAGGAAATTCCGGTAATAAAAATTTAATATCCTGTAATGAGACCATTTCTAAATTTGAATTCAAAGATTAATGAATTTTTACCACAACCAAACATTAAGGATGCTGTCAATCTGTTGACAGAATATATGGGTGATTTCACGATAACAGGAATAGTTAAAATGTGAAATACCTTAGAAATAAAAGTGCACCAATTTTAACAGGATTTCATTACCTTATTTTAAAGGTATTAAACTTCCTCTTTCCAGCTTTGGCACGCTCCATTTATCATACCATTGATACTCCATTTATCATACCTGGTGCTCTTTTGCTTCAAAATCGGGGTTGGCGACGCGTAACCGACCGGACATTTTCGGCCTTTAAAGTCTCATATTATTAAATATAATAATAATAATTCATCATATTTTTCAACATGGATAGGTTCAGGGACATCATTCCTATTGATTAATTAATTTGGTTTTCAATCGTTTTGCCCTATGTCGTTCATAACCCACGGCGACACGACTATTCCTATTATCGTGAAATCACCCCTATGTACAAACTTTCACAACATTTCAACTCACTTTTTAACTCGGTTTCATCATGGTGGCAAAATTTCATAAAAAATAAAATCTTGAATTTTCACGTGAAATATCACATGAAATTTCACACATTAAAAAAGGTATTGAAAAAACCAGTTCCTTTTCATGTTTCACAACATGTAAAAATTGTGACTTTCTTATATTTTTGTGTATTCGAGTGCGGGCTGCATACTTTTGCCCTGAAAAATATGAAATATTTCACAGCCTTGTGAAATTTCATGAAATTTTCCACTGAAATTTCCAATCTTTCATTTCTTTCTTACATTTCATGCCACTCTGGGTTTTATAGACCTCCGGGAATTGAATATTATGATATCCAATTCACATTATAATGAACCTCTGTTTATAACAACGGACATTCATGCACCTGAATGAAGAAAATTGGACAATTTTAAAAAAAAATGTATTTTCTTGAGTGAACGGTTTTCTGAGATAGTCAAATTTCCTCACATCAACTATTAAGTCAGAAAGCATATCTTATCAAAATGACTTCAATCGTGTAATATAAGTACATCGAATCGATTCTGTCCTTGAATGAGGGCTTCATCATTGAATCTTCTTCTTGTCCGGGAACGCTTGAGCGATATGAACCACGACGTGATCCCATACACTTAATTATCCCTCCATTAGTTTCATAATCTCACCAGTCAATTATCGAGCACTATCACAAAAAATTTGCACCTGGATCTTAATTACACGTTGATAAAGAGCTCTTTTACTGCAACTAACGTTTTAATAGATTCAAGGCTGTCATGGCAAAGATGTAGCCCATAACCGAGTCTACTCTGTCTTTATTTTCCTCAAAAAAAAAGAAAAGGAAGATTGCACATGAGGGTATAGAAGCACATGTTTTACGGTTTAGGATTAAATAGAGTTCACCATGAATGATCGATTATCGATATTCCCTCCTTTGAAGCCATGGTAAAATATCGGTTATTAATGTGTTCATTGCGAGCACCCTGTTAATCGATCATTTTCCATGGGTTTCAATAGCAGATCAATCGATTTATCTCAAAGCGCACTCCACGCCACTGCAGCAAGGGGTGGATCTTAACCACCACCCTCCTTGAACTCTCATCTAAATTCATGTAATTCGTGTCTGTAAATTTTAATGCACTCCAATTTGTCAGCAGTCAAAATTGTTGGTCAGTTTCTTATTTGCAAAATTGACATGCAAAGCCGCTTCACGATTTTGCGCATTATTTGGATATCTCACAACCCCCAGTCAGTATTTTCAACAGTTACCTCTCCTCAGATTTTCTCTATACTGCCGTGCTGGGGGAAAATGCCGTACGTACATTCGAGAGTTGCCGAATTTCCGCCGTTAAAATGTTTATTTTAGGAGGAAGTTATACATACTAGTCCTTGAAATTTTGAGGTATTGTAGATTAAATTGTGAACCACATTGTCTAAAAATTGGAGGGAAAATATTCATAACTTTTCCAATAAATTCGTATTTTATCAAAGGAAACTCGGTAACGCCGGGAGGCTCATACGACGTTCTTCCTTAGCACGGCAGTTTAGTCTGCCACAGAGCCGCTTTATAGAGAGTGTTAAGACAACGCGGCTCATGGATGTCACAAACGGGAATGCAGATTACAAAAATCGGACGTTTTTTGTAATCTTTGATCAACCCATTTCGAATTCCCATCTCCGTTCCCTCTCCCATTCCATTTCTTCCTTGCCGTTCCCCCGATGTCCCGGTCCATTCTAGTTTATAATTTTTGCAATTGGTGAAAATGTAATCTTTATTCCCGTTTGTGACACTGTGGAGGCCTAAAATACGGGAACCAATCAGGAATGGATTCGCATTGTCTTTACTCTCAGTATAAAAGGACTCTAGTCTGCCACTCCTTTCTAGTTGTCTCAAACAACTGTGCCTGCTTTGAACGAAACTTTGAAACAATTTTATCCAAGAGTTCAATCGGAATTATGGATTTGCCCGCGCAAAATATTCCATTCCCAATCGGAATTGCGATGGATTAACTGAAGCTCCGAGGCGTCACGGAAGTGAATATGCGCGCGTCTCCGGATATTGGCGTCAAATTGTCGGTCCTTTACCGTAAGGGCATATTTCATTTTAGGGATGAGCCCCACCGCCCATGTTCGCCCATGCTTTCCAGGGCTCATGTCTGAGGATCAACGAAATGCACGCCCCGCGGGATGGATGACGGAGGATGACAGATGGAACCGGAGATACCCATCTGGGTGTGGGTGCGTATGTCAGACCCTCAGAAAAAGCGGGAGGATGTCATTGCGGAGCTCAATGAGAGCTGAGGGCTGGTTTTGACAAATATTTGATCCGCATTTCTATCAAGGAATTCCGTCGTCTCCACAGTGAACATTCCGCTTGTGCATCGTTGAACGGGGATACCGGTTCATTCATCTTGACGTGTCTTTCAGTGCATAGGTATTTCCTTCTACGGAAATGTCTCTCTTTCCAGGGCTCTCCGAATTATGGAGAAAATGATTGTCATTTTCACCGAATAAAGCTTTTAGGCAGTGTTTAGGGTGAGGGAATCGAGCTTTTTTTCGAAAATAGGGGGTCTGCTCCCTAGGTGGTTAACGGAACTCTCGAGGAACGAATTCTGCGAAATTGGAACTGTAATTGGACCGCGTCAAGCAGGAGGGAACTAAACCACATCAGCTACCGTCGAAGTTAGTTGGGCAATTTAATTTTTTACATGGAAACCGTTGTGTAGATTTGTGTGAAAATTTCAGTGAATTCTCTGCAAAGTACGAAGCAAATTCCTTAAAATTCTCAAAGGAATCTGCACAAACGTTCTGTTATAAAAAATTTAATTGCTCAGTTTTTGGCAATTGTTGATGTGGCTTGATTCCTTCCTGCTAAACGCCGTCTAATTCTGGATTAGCATTGTTGCTTTAACATATGATTGGATTTATTAGAGGGTTGAGCCATTTACAGCAGATCAATACTCACTAGAGACATATCAACGGAGCAAGTCGGCAATCACATAACTCGGTTTGCGACGTCGCAGACTTCCTGTCATACTTTACTTTTTAAACAGAAAACTACTCAACGGCAATTCTTTAAAACTGCCGTAATTATTCTACTCTGTGCAAAGAAAATTCTGCAAAAACACTAAGTAATTATGTCAATTTGTTCTCCTTTAAAAAAATAACATGGAGGCGGAGATTTTCAGACACCGCAAACGAGTTAGATGTTAGCTGACTCACACCGTCGATATGTATATGTACAAAATTAAAGTTCCAAAATCTTTTAAACTTTGACAATATCATTGTCTAATTGACCATAATTAATACCTATGTAAGTAATGGCAATAAAAATGGCATTGGTGTGAGTTATACATATTCGGACGTCCGTCAAGGTTTGCCAGCGATTTGGGTTACGTTGAACCCGAGAGAAAGGCGACTCGTAATCTCTTTTACTGAAGCATCCTATGAAGGAACTCCTTAATTCTGCAAAAGTTTTTAGCTGCATTGAAGTCCGTTGCAAAGGTTTGTATGCGTGTTGGATTTTTTTAAAAATAAAAAATTCAACGAATGGTCATTAAAACTTGGAATCTACTAAAATAGTTCAACTTTTACAAATTAAACTGTCTTACATTCAGAATGATTGCTCCACAGATGGCTCCAAGGCATTGTGCGACAATGTACAGCATACCTTTTATTATGCTAACATGTCCCGACACAGCTAGTCCACAAGTTACAGCCGGATTGATGTGACAACCACTAACGTGACCTATTGCCTGAAATATTTTAAAAAATATAACATTTTAAGGGCGAAAAGTAAAACTTTAACGTGACAGTGCTATAATAATACTAATTGGTCCGTGCCAACCACCAGAACACAATTTTGGGGCTGGTTCATTTTAAATAAAAATTCATACGGTAAGCAATGGCTTAAAACATTAAAAACTATGCAAAAAATTCAGAAAGCCTCCAAGTTTCTTTTCAGGGCTGTGTATAAAAACGATGACGTTAAAACAAAATTCAACTGAAGGCACGATGAGTGGAGAAAAGTTGGTTGAAGGACAATTTAATCTGTGTTTTTGTCAGTGTTTATTATGAACTCATTGAGTGAGGGCTGAGGGCTTTACATTGTATCCAGATTGTGCTGAAAATCAGCACTTTTCTCCATTTAAAACCATGCAAAATATTCAAATTGTATCGGGCGACCTGGCAACCTAAAACCTTGAAGTGGGTATGGAAGGATACTCGAGTTACAGAGTAAATTCACAACTGGGAACGCATCAAGGCCGGCTGCGAACTTAACGAAACTTACATTGACTGTTGGCGAATTTGAAACTTTTCATTTGTCGACCATGGATCATGAAGGCGGGGCAAAGCACTACGGAAGAAAGTTAACAACTTTCGCGGCGGTAAAAAATGATCCCTCTGACAGGGGCAGGTCAATAAGCACCGGAGAGCGGAAAGCGGATCTTTCCAAGAAATATTACTCGCTGTTTGGCATTAATGCCACCTCGTCTCTTGTGTCAGATCTCGATGGTAGTCACTCATTTTACACCAAAGCTGCCTTGCTAAGGAAAAACGCCGTATGAACCTTCAGGCGTTGCCAAATTTCCTTTGATATAACACGAATTTCCCGGTAAACCTATGAATATTTTCTTTCCAATTTTTCAGATAATTTTGCTCGCAATTTCCCCTGAAGTTCCTGGAAATTTCAAGGAATAATATTCATAACTTTCCTAAACAATGAGCATTTTATTGAAGGAAGTTTGGCAACTTTTGAATGTTCATACGGCGTTCTTCCCTAGCACGGTAGAAAGGCAGGCAATTCTGCGGCTATTTTCGGCAAATTGGCAACGAAGCATCGTGATTGCGGTGCCTCCACCTGGTCCCGTTCATTTTTTGCCTTTGAAAATCCACGCTTGGCATTTAATCTCATTAAGTGACCTCTTTATTGTCTTTGACACTAATGATGCACCTCTAATAATATTGCTCGCTCAAAATTCGTTTAAGACAGGGAAAAGCTTTCATCGCTCCATCTGCTCTCTGACCTAGAAGTTTCACTGTTCCTTTTTGGGCTCGTTCCATTTGGGGGAGCTCTTCCCGATCGCTTCCCATTTCCATTGGTAATGTCTTTGGCGGCATATGGATGGTTCAGGTTACCAGCAAGGAACGAGCAAAAACACAAGGGTCCGAAAAATTCCAAAAATTTCTTGGGTCCGAATGTTAAATCTGTGCTGATTTTGCGGGTCGCCGTTTTCCTTAGTCAAACATTTCCGTTCCTTCATTCAATTCAGGATTAATAGTTCCTCACTTACCACACAAGACACTTTCATGCCACTTTCACCACACTTCTCATCTTTCATGAACCTTTTTAAAATGTACCAAATCAAAAGGTCGGGATACGTGGTTTATTGGCCTACCTGGACCATAGAGGCGATAATGAGCCCGAAAGCCATGGCAATTTTCACAACGTCAACGAAGTTGTCCTGATGGACAAATGCTACCGACATGCATCCTATGAGTACTAACAGCAAAGTCCCTACGAACTCAGCAACTATGCATTTTGTGAGAGTGGGCCCATCTCGAATATCGGGCACTCCAATCACTTTTGAGATCGCTGAAACAGTCCAAGTTTTATGTTATGAGACAAAGTTTAAGATAAACTGAACGTAGCTTTCACTGCTTCCACTTCTCGGTCTTACGTATAAAAAGAAGACATCAGGCTAAATTTTTCATCAGGCGATTTTAGCGTCGCGCAAGCCAGGAAAGGGAGTGCGGTCTAGTGTCGAGTCATTCTCACAGTGTGATACGCCCTCAATCCAGCAACCAGCGGCCGTGTGCCTATACCTGTAGTCGAATGTTACCGCAAATAACTCGCATTGCGTTTGGTGCAATGCGAGAAGTATTCATGCAGTCTTGTAGGCGCTAACATGCGCCTGACGCCGACCGTACTCTTTGGCGCAATGCATGAAGTATTCCTGCAGTCTTGCAGGCGCTGATATGAGTTTGACGCCGACCACACAATGTTTGGCACGAATATTTGAACTCGCGTTATAGTCCAGGCAATAGGGAAGTTCTTGGGGAAAATTTCCCGGAAAACTTTTTGATGAGTGATTCCTATGTATTTTTAGACGCTGAATCCGAATTTCGCATTTGTGTAAAGATCTTTTCGCCGCTAAAGCCGCCATTTTGAAAAAATGGCCTAAAAATGGCCTAAAATCCCAATTTTTGAAAATATCTCGCTTATTTTTGATTTTTTGACCAAAGTAGTTATTTTCAAAAATAAACTACATAAAATTCTAAAGAAAACA